TGGCCATCATGGCATGTATTGAGAGCATCTTGCATCAGCAAAATATGAACTGTAGCATTCTGCAACAAGTAATTGGGAAGTATAGCACTCTTTGGCACAAAGTGCATCTGCCTCAGGTCTCCTCAGCATGGCATCTGTCAACACTAGCAATAAGCATCAGATGCTTACTGCAGGTCACATCAGCATAGAATACATGTATTCTATCCCTCCACATTAGGGAACCCATCTGCTGTGGATTTCCACAGCAGGGAATGTGTTTTCTCCAATTCTCCTAACTGTGGAATGAGTCCCTTCCAGCTCTCGAACATGTAATGTATGTCTTTCAAATCTTGTCAACATAGAATGCTCTTCCTATAGGTCTTTTTAGTATGAAATCTATCTATTAGCTCCATTAAGGAAGCTATGCAGGACTGTGGAATCATCCCTCTTATGTTCATCACAGTATAGAATATATATTCTCTGGCCTTATGAAACTTTCTTCCTTTTCTGCCATCCTGATTACAGCTCTCTTATGTATATTCCAAGGCATTTGATATACCTCTTTTTGTTCTCCTTTGGATGTATAGAGTTTCAGCAACTCTAAAAGGCATAGCATTCTTTTACCACACGCTGCCTTGGAGTGGGTTTCCTCTGGTTGAGTTATGCAAAAAGAGTTTGCATTTGAGAGCATAAAAGCAGCATAGACTATTTCTGCTGCAGCTTTCGTGAAGCCTGATTTTTATTTCATGCACTTCAAAAAGGGATCTGTAATTTTTTTGTTTGCATCAGCTCCTCTAGATGGAATATGTGTAGTCTGGTCCTCATCAGGATGAATTTAACCTGTACCAGCTCTCCTTAGGGTTGATGAAATGGAGCCATTGGTCATATTCCAGGTCTCCTGCAGACATATGTAGGCCTATACTGCCTGGAATCAACCTCATATTGCTCATTCAGCTGATCAAGGAGTGCATTTATTTTGTGTCCTTATCATGGACTGCAACTACTGTTGCTTTCCAATGAATGGGATGCAGATATTCCAGTCCTGGTCAGCATTGAAACCATTTACTCCAGCTCTTTTCAGGAAGGTAAATGTGCCCTGCAGGTTTCCTTGTCATGGAATAATCTCACATTATCCTGAGCATGGTATATACTGAAGCTTTCTTTGTCCTGGAATCCATCTATCTACACTCAGCTTAGTAAGGTAAGTGTCAATGTAGGTTCTCATTAGCATTGATTCATCACGCAGTCTGCTCAGCATGGAATGTACTACTGCCCTCTTTGTCCTGGAATCCATCTACCTCAGCTCTTCATACTAAGGTACGTGTCAACTTGGGGTCTTTTTAGCATGGATTCATGTCCTCCTTGTTCCTTATTTCTAAATACATCGCTTCCTTCTCTGCTCAGAATGGAATCAATGGCTTGAATCTTGTTCCATGGTGCAACTGGACTCCATGAATTCGTTTGGTATGGATATGCGATGCACGCTCTACTCAGCACGGAATATGCCACCTCCACTTCACATCTCCATGGTCTCCTTTTATTTCAGGTGTCTTAAACAAGGTAGATGCCCACTCGAGTCATCTGGTTACTGCATGTGAACTCTGATTACTACATATCCTTCTGTGATGAAATGGATGTCTTTTGGCAGATGACAGCAAGGAATATGTCAGCTCCAGTGCTCTTCATCAAGGATGATATCTACTCCAGCTTTACTCAGCATGGATCCTTTTACCCAGGTTCTAAGCATGGCATGTGTTGAAAACAGTTGTTTTTAGTGAGGTAAGTGTCCACTCCAGAATTGTTTAGTATACAGTCGTGCTTGTCTAGGGCTTGTTGGGCTGGATTACATTCACTGCAGCTCTCCTCAGCCTGAGAGCTGTCTACTGCTGGTGTACTCAGCTTGTGATCAAGCTTCTGCTTACTTGAGTGCTCTCTTGTTCCTATCACAGGTCCTGCAAACTTTTTGTTGTTGTTTTAAATTTAAAATTTCATTTCCTTACTTTAGAGGAAACGGCTTTAGCTTGTGATTTTTTTGTTTCATTTGTGTGTTCTTACCTCATGGTATAACCCCTGTTTTCAATGTATTTGACTCTGGTGCCCTGAAGCTTGTATATACATTTTTCGAATTGGGGAGTGGAAGGGAAATAACAAAATGCTGAATTAAGGATATAGGTTGACCCATTCCAACACTGAAATGCACAAGACATCTTGTTGACAACTTACTTTACAACTTTGGGGGTAAGGTAGTTGTTGGGAAGGTGAGGAGGGAAGGAATGGTAGGGGGAAAACAAAGGAGGAGGTAACCACATTACTCATGTAACTGTAACCCCTCTGAAGAGTATTTTTACAGTAAAAATATATTAAAAATTTATTAACTGAATTGTGAACTCAGAGCCTTGAGCCCTGTTTGTTTATTTAACTTATATCATGAGCTATGGCACTTGAGCTATGTGCTCATTCTTACATATTGATGGTAAATTTGAAAATTTGATTTGTGTTGACTGTATTTAAGAGCTTAATCCTGACAGTTCAGACTTCTGTACACATGAACATGTGATCTAACTGGTAGAGTTATAGATATAGAACTGTCACAAAAAGCCTTAGCATGCTGAGTTGCTAGGCACAGAGAGATGAAACCCCAGTTTGGTTAACTCTTGTTTTTTTTTTAAATTTTTTTCTAACTTCTATTTACTTTTAAATTCTGATATTAGGATTTGATTTAAGATAAAGGCTTTGCCCCTCAGTGTTTATGCTCAAGGCTAGTGTTTGGCCATTTGAGTCACAAGTCCCTTCTGATTTTTAGTGGTTAATAGGAGAGAAGGTCTCCCAGAGTTTCTTGCTTGGGTGGCTTTGAACCATGATCCTCATACCTCAGATTCCTAATACAGTAGAAATACAATGCGTGAGTTAACCCTGGAAGTAACTCATTTGTTATCAGACATGATTTCAATGAGACAGCAAACTGCGAATCAGAAATTGAGGGTTTTCTGCAGAAGGGGCCATGAATGAAACCAATGCTGTTTTCCCCTCTGTAGACCCAGGATTGTAGACTTTTTCTTTCGGCAGGCCTTGACAGCCACAACCTTGTATGTCATGTGACTGTCTCTCCAGTCTCAGCTCAGTGCAGTTAGAGTGAAACACATTTGTTTTCTCCCAGATTTTAAGGCAAGAGATACAATCATCATCCTCTGTGTACATGAGAACCATTCCCCATTAGGTCCACTTGCCCTGCTCACTATGTACTGGAGATCCAAGTAGTGATGCTACTTGTGAAGTCCAAATAGGTACATTTGAGCTGCACATGGTCCTCCAGGAATATTCTGCCTGGATATTTTGGATATTCTGCCTAAGTAGAGAATTTTTCTCTAATTCTTCTCTCTAGGAAACCAAAGTATGGATGCTGTCTCCTCTAGTTTATTGGACTTGTAGTTTCCATCCCCCCTTCACTAAGTGAGAAGTGTTGTTTAAGCTGGAAGCATAAGATACTAGTCAAATAGGAAAGGTGAGTCCAGATTCTAGGTATCCTGAGTATGAGGATGGGGATCTTCATTGTCTCTTGGGATCAGGTCTGGCACCAATTGCAGCAGCATTGAAGGCATATAATAGATAAAGGCCTTTCTCTCCCTGTTGGTTGCATGGGTTTCCCTCTGGCCGATATGAGGAATCCATTGGGATCCTGAGTGGACTTTGAAATCCTCTTAATTGATAGTAGATAAATCACAAACTCTCTATAGGTTAGAATATTTGCCAGCTTCTCTCTCTCTGAGAGCCCCTTATTGACTTTAAGGCCCGCAGTGCCTTCACTGACATCTTCCTGTCTCTCACTAGCTTCCTTTTTAACTGTGTGAAGATACTTTATCCCAAAGGCATTTCCTGCTCTATGCCCTCCCCCAACCCCAGAGCCTCACCTGACACAGATCTGGCATAGAACAGGCGTTGATTAAGAGTCATGCATCATCATGTTGCTAAATTAAGGGTCACGTTATGAAAAATGTGGCTGCTACATGTTTCATAGTCCTGGGAAGAGCACAGCTTGTCCACATCTACACCAAGACAGCTGCAGTGTAGGGAGGGTTGTATATGGGATCACTGTTGCCTCTGTGGCCCATTCTTGACTGCATCTCCATTATGGGTCACTGGATTCTGTACAAATATATGGGTGAGTCAGACTTGGTCACATCTAGTACTTTCCCTCCAATCACATAGGGCATCTATCCCTGCCTTTCATAAGGAGTGGACTGGAGTTTCCCATGGTCTCCTGGATGGAATGTCATTGTTGGCCTCACCACATGACTATGATGCTCCTGTCATGCTGTCAGCCTCTCACTGTGGAACAGATGACAATACAGCCAGTCTGGTGTCCAGGTACTGTGTGCCCTATGAACACCCTACGTGCATTGACCCAGTGGGGGATCCCTCATCCTCCAATAATTTACCTGATACCCTTCTTATCCCTCATGTCCTTCTTCCAGATGGAACTTCACATCACACCCACCTTTGGCTATGTTTTCCACATGACAAGAACCACTTTCATCATTTTAAGTTGACTCCCCAGGAACCTTGGAACATCATCACCATCAGCATAGGTCCTCAGTTTCCACAATGGCTTCATTTCTCACCCTGGTCATTTTGTGGAGTTAAGTGTTGTTTCATTAATTTGTTGCACAAGGATCAGAGACTGGCTCGTAACTCTTCCTAGCAATGCATCTCTTTTGATTTCTATTTTATATTCACAAATAACCTGCAATTTTTATTACCTAACAGTTTCCTTTCCATCAGTCATTTAGAATAAAATGTGATTTCATGAGTTATCCTGTAAGGACTACAATAAATTTTGTATCAAAGATGTTTATGTCTTTTCTGCTTCTTCAGTTTTTTGCCTAGTTGAGAGAGACACTCTGTGTGTGTGTGTGTGTGTGTGTGTGTGTGTGTGTGTGTGTGAATTGTATGGCTTGAACTCGGGGTTCCCTTTAAGACTTGAGCTCCACCTCCCCTTTGACTTTTTTGCTGGCTAATTGGAGATAAGGTTGTGTCAGACTTGTCTGACTGACTGGCTTTCAAAATCCATCTTTATATCTTTACCTCCTGGGTATTTGAGATTATAGAGCTCAGCCATTGTCACCAAGCGTAGTTTTTTAAAAACTGTTTTAAAGATCTTTCATTCTCTTCCACATGACATACAAGACACCTTGTTCTTGAGATTTGTCAGCAGAGTCCTCCCCAATCCCCCAGAATAACTGCTGTGGTGCAGTCATCCAGAGTTCCTACCATACTCCCATCACCGTGTTCCTGCCTATGCTCCTTCTCTTCTCCATTCTTTGGGAGCTCTTCCTCTCCTCATCAATGAAAACATTGCCTGTATACCCATCAAGTGTCAATAGGATCCTACTTTTTCCAGGTACCCCCCTCTGACTTTGAAGCTCAACTGTCAACTTTTTTCCCTTTACTCTAAGTCCATTATGCAGTTTTCAAAGTATGGGTTCACTATTGTCTCCAAAGAATGAGAGGCTTGGATATGGTGCTGTGGCTCAAGTGGAAGTGTACTAGCCTTGAGCTGAAGAGCTGAGGAACCGTGCCTAGGCCCATAGTTCAAGCCATATGATCAAAAAAAAAATGAGAGGCTTCTGAGTACCTCACTGCAGTTACTGCAGCTTGATGGTGCAGAACTAAGCTGGTTTTTTTTAATGTTTTATTTGCAAGTTCCTCTCAAGGTGAGAACGGTAAGTAAGGATTCCTGTGGTTTAGGCTTTGGGACCTGATGTTTTCTGTCTAGAGTTGATTGAAAGTTAGCAGTGTGTGATGATTACAGATGAACCTCATGACTGCTGAGTTTTGTTGCAGTTTTCTTTGTTGAAAATGTAGAATGGATATTAGGCCTATGTAGTGCATCATGCTAATAGTAATAAGCCATGCTTGTTAGGAGCATACAGACCCGGTGCTCTATATCCTTGTCTTCTAGTATTTCTCCACAAGCTGAAGATGCAGGTTGGGCTTCTCTCTTTATGGAAAATGCATGAGTAGATGAGCAGTGAGAGTTGAGGATCACTTTTGTTCTAAAATAGCATGAAACGAGTGAAATGTCTTAATATGGATAGAAGAATTCCAGGCTTCCCCTTGTGGAAAGTGCTTGTTCTGCCCTAAGGTCCATTTTTTGTGAACCTGGAAGATATTTCCTCTGTGATGGGGCAAGAGGAATTTGTCCCTTGCAGCTCTCCTGAGATGCAAAGTGCCTCCTCCATCCTCCTGAGCATGGAATTTGTGTGCTACCAAGTGGCTCGCTATGGATGAATTTCTTCCAGCCTTGATCAAGGGAAAAATACCTGTTCAGTCTCCCCTGAGCAAGGAATAGATTTTTTTTGGCAGTCATCATCCTCAAAAGTTTTATTCCTGTTGTCCTCTACCTGAAGTACGTGTCTTTCAGCTCTCTTCAGGGTGGATCTATTTCTTCCAGCTCTGAAGAAGGGAAATATCAATTTTAGGCCTGGACAGTCCTGAATTCATGTTCTTTTGCTCATCCCACTGCAAGAAGTACACCTATTGTAATTTTCTTTAGCATGGAATCCTTGCATAAGTCTCTGAAGGAAATGGAGATATTTCAGTTCTCCTAAGCACCAAAGCCATCTCTTCCAGCTCTCCTCAGGAAGGTAATTGTCATTTTGGTGTCTCAGCACAAATTCATATTTTTTCTCTATCCTTGTCTTCTGTTGACATTTCTTCTTTCCTTCTTTCCTCAGAACATGGAATTGATTTCTTCAATCTCTCTTCACCATGAGATCCAACCAGTTGAGCTGCTTCACAGCAGATAGTGTTGTTGAGATCTAGTCCACCAGAAATCCATGTGCAGAACCTACTCAGCATTGCATGGGTCTTCTCTAATCTACTTTACTTAGAAGTCATATCCCTTAATTTTCTCAGATGAGCAGAAAAAGTAACAAATGTGTTTATATTACCGTAGAAGAGGCTGCTAAATGAAATGAACCCCAAGATATGGAGACAAGATTTCTTTTCTTGTTTTTGTTGTTTTAAATGTACTTTTATATGTTGTTTTAAATGACTTTTTGTTTCTTTTGTTTGTTCTTCCCTATGGTATATCCCGTTTTCACTGTACTTGAATTTGGTAGTCTGCATCTTGTATATACATTTGTCTAATGTGGCGAGGGGAAGGGGAATAACAAATCGCTGAAATAAGGACACAGGAGCAACCATGGAAACAATGATACCCACAAGATAGTATATTGGAAATAAACTTTACATCAGGGGTTGGTTGGGGAGGAGTTATCAGGTGGGGGAGGGAAGAAGAGTGGGAGAACAACAAGGGAAGTGGTAACAATGCTCGACAACTAATATACTCATTGCCTTACTCATGTAACTGTAACCCCTCTGTACAGCATCTTTACAATAAAATAAAAATTTAAAAAATGTAGGGAAAATGTCAAATACATTTTACTTGAATCCTCAAAAACACAGAGGAAAATTTAACTTGCAATTATTAGTTTACCTTATCTTATACCACAGTCTTCCTGGTTATTCTGTGTTAAATGAATAAATTTATATTAACCCAAATAAAAAAGAAGTGATATCCATAAGGACCCCTCAGTATGAAATGCACCTATCCACCCTGCTCAACCAGGAATGTGTTTACTAAGCATGTATTTATTCTCAGCAAAGCATTATCTTGGGTCATTTAATCACTTTTCTCTCTTCCTGGGATGCAGTTAATCTTTCCAATATGTCTTCAGATTGAAATCCATTTGCTCAGGTTGAGGACAGAAGAGTCTGATTCAAAGCCAAGCCATAAAGAAGAGTTTTGACATTCATCTGCGATTACCCAGAACATCTCAAAGTGGAAGTATAGCTCAAGTGGAAGAGTACTAGTCTTGAGGAAAAACCCTAACACATAGGGACCTAGCCCTGAGTTCAAGGCCTAGGACTCACAGAAAAATACAAAACAGAAACAAAACTAACAATCTTTTTCAACATACAATGGCTGTATCTGCATTTCCTCTTAAACAAAGGTTTCTCATTTAGCTTGCCTTTGCAGGAAATGTGTCCATTGTTTCTCCTCAGTAGAGATGTGACCGTTGGATTCCCTGTTGCATGAGACGTATTAGCTGCAGGACTTCTCTGCATGTTATCCATCTCTTTCAACTTTGCTAATCAAGGTAGTTTTCCTGTGAAGCATCCTTCAACCTGCAGGACAAGGACTACTCTGCCCTTCTCAGCAAGGAAGGTCTCCTGACTGTGTCCTGACTGTGGAAGGCTTTGACTCCAGCTCTAGTAGGCTTGGAATACATTTCTTCTAATGCCCTGTTTGTTTGTTTGTTTTTGTGGGTCATGGGGCTTGAACTCTAGGCCTGGGCTCTGTCCCTCAGCTCTTCAGCTCAAGGATAGTGCTCTACCTCTTGAGCCACTGAGCTGTAAGCTATATTAAAGAGGTAAGTTTCATTAGGTAGCGGATGAAGAGAACACCACTTGCTATTCAGGCAGGCAAAGAAATTTATTTACCAAACTGCTGCCCCATGCATGGTGGGGAGGCATGGCTGAAAAAGGAAGGGGGAGAAGCACCCCGGGACAGGAAGAGTTGTGGCCATGTGGGGGAAAGGTGTGGCCACACTGGATTGGGAGGTGACCTTGGGTAGGGACCCTCTTAAGGTCAGATGGGAGGCATGTGACCAGAGGTGATTCAGGAAGTAACCTAGCAGGAGGGGGAGGTGACTGCTAGCAGGTGTGCCAGTTACCTAGGTAACAGACACTCGATGAAACTTAGCCAAGAGGTGGGGAGGTGTCCCTTATGTAGAACTTACAAGAGGTACTTCTGGTTTTTTGGTGGTTTATTAGAGATAAGATTCTCATGGATTTTCCTGTCCTTTCTGGCTTTGAACCACAGTCCTCAGATCTCAGACTCCTAAGTAGCTAGGATTATAGGCATGAGCCACTGGTGCCCGGCCCCAGTGCCCATGTTAATGGACTGATTATAAGTATGGACTTGTTCTTCTCTAGCACATGTAGGCAAATATATACTTGTTTCAAGCAGTCTTGACCCTGGTACCCAGAGCAGCTCTCTGTGGACTGTGCCTCCCAGACTGCCCAAATATTGCATGCCTCAGGTTCAGGCTTTGTGAACATGGAAGATGTCTCCTCCAGTTTGAGGCAAGATGTAATGTGTCTCCTGCAGATCTCATGAGAATGGAAAGTGCCTCCTCTCTCTTTCTGAGTATGGGAGGTGGGTGCTGTCTGACTTTTCACCAAGGAATAGAGCTTTTCCAGCCTTACTCATGTGAAGAGAGCCTCTTCTGTCTGCCATGAGCAAGGAATGGGTCAATCTTTACTGTTTTCAGCCTAGAAACTGTCTAGTCCCATTGTCCTCAGCTTGAAATACATGTGTCTCAGCTCTCCTCAGGGTGAACCTATTTGTACAGATCTGAGGAAATGGATGTCAAGTCTAATCCTGTACCACATGGATTCCACACCTTCTGCTTACTTCAGTATACGGAGATCATCGGATGTAATTGTCTTTCACATATAACACATGTATACATTCTTTTCACAGAATACAAAGCCTATATGGCAATTCTCCTTAGTATTGGTCTCATTTGGTCCAGTTTTCCTCAGGAAGGTGTCATTTTAATATCTCTTAAAATTCAGTCCTATTTGGTTCCTCTGTTATTCTTTTGATGTTTGTCCTTTCTCTCTCTTGACAGCTTGGAATTGATTTTTGCAGTCTCTCTTGTTCAACATGGGATCCATCCACTGCTGCTCCTTCACAAATATATGTCTTCTCCAAATCTCCTCCAAAAGGACTCTGTGTGCAGAAACCTACTGAGTATAACTTGAGTGTCCTCTAGTCTTCTACAATGTTGAATGCAATGTCCCTTTGAACTCATCAGTTTGATACTAATCTAACCACTTTTTTCAAGTCGGGAAGTGTTTATTGAACATGGAATACACTCCCAAATGATTTGTGTTCTCCTCAAAGAGGTGAGTGTTTACATAGTGTATCTACCTCATAAATTCATAACTTTTTCC